GTTCCTTTTAAACTGAGATTTATAGCCAACTGACGAACAACTAAGGATCTAAGTGGAATGCACTGCCATATTCATGTCCTTGACAGAAAGTCAAAGCAGCTTCTTGGGCTTGAAAGCCTTATATCCCTTAATGTTCTCTCTGGCTCCAAAAGCTCCAACATTCACCAACAGCCAAGGAGAAACAGCAGCAGCAAAACAACGCTGAGCTGTTTCTGACAGCAGCCAGTGTGTTCATTTGCTGCAGGTATCTTACTATATTAACACTATATTATAGGTATCAAGCAATCTATGCGTTTTGGTAACCTCTAATGGCAGGCTGAATGAACTGCAGCAATTTGAACTGAATTAAATTATTATTTTGCTTTTATAAAATGTTTTTTTAACCATGAATCACCGTGTCAGTTCAGGAGGATGAAACAATGATTTAATTATCAATAAATAATAGAAATGTAAAACCACAACATTAAAAAAATAAATATGGTACTTAATAAATCAAACAATAAATACTGAAATATATATTTAAATGCATAATTGAACTCATAAATACATTTTTTTTATATATATTTTGACATTTAAAATTTTATTTATGCATTTCTACTACTTTAGATTGAGGTTAGAACCTCATTAACATATAGACAAAACAGAAATAAATAAAAGTAGAAATGCAGAAATAAATACATGTAAATGTAGAAATGATTTGATATATCATATATGTCCCGATTCATTACAATGCATTTAACTATTATTTATTTCTATGTTTACTTCTACATTTATAGTTTTATCTATTGTTAAGTATATTATCTATGTATTGATGATTAAGTCATTTTTTGTCCTCCGTAGTCATCCTGTACTGCTGAGCAGCTGAAAATGTCTGTGTGTGGAGAAGAGTGTTGAAATTCCAGCGAGTGTGGATTTTTATTTGTTCCAAATCAAGCTGGTAAATGAAAGCCAGAAATCTCCACACCTGCCCACATAATTATTTAGTCATTGCCATTTATCAACAACCACATTAACCACCACAGATAGCAGGCAAATTAACCCCAGGTTAATTATTTAATCTTATAATTTAGGTTTTTAAAGGGTAATTTCTTCAAAACTAAGAGTAAAACATTTGAGAATTGAGTTTGCTGTATTTCATGCTCAAATGCCTCAGTCACACATGGTTTGTGTGCACCACTCAGGAGTTCCTCATGCCACCCCAGATTACCAGCGTAATGACACGACGTTATTACCTCACCTCCATATGACTCACTCGCATCAGATGTGGTCGACAGCGAGCATTCAACAGCCCATGGAAATTCAAACAATCACTTTCCTCAAGATGGCTGGGAAGGATTTAAAGGGAAACATACATGCCTCTAAATGTTTATTAGCTGTTTAATATCCTGTTTAGGGTGTCTTTTATCAGTTTGGTGTTGTTAAGTCCCTTGGTTAAGTCACCGTTTCCTGTAGGTACCAGTGTTCCCCTCCTCCTTTGCCATTTTGTTCCCCTGGGCCTTGAAAAAAAATGAATGATCCAACGCAGGATCCACACAGTCACACTGTACTGCATACTCTATATAAGTGCTGACACACACAACCTGTGCACCTAAAGTTGGTA